ATTTCACCTGATGTTCTGATTTCACCTGATGTCGGATTTCACCTGATGTTCTTGATTTCACCTGATGTTCTGGATGTCTGACTTCACCTGATGTTCTGATTTCACTTGATGATTTCACCTTTCGGATTTCACCTGATGTTCGGATTTCACCTGATGTTCGGATTTCACTTGTTCGGATTTCACCTGATGTTCTGATTTCACTTGTTCTGATTTCACCTGATGTTCTGATTTCACCTGATGTTCTGATTTCACCTGATGTTCTGATTTCACCTGATGTTCGGATTTCACTTGTTCTGATTTCACCTGATGTTCTGATTTCACCTGATGTTTTGATTTCACTTCTTCTGATTTCACCTGTTGTTTGACTGAACATAATTCCTTAACATGTTCATGTAAAAGTCCAAAGGAATGAAGTGATGGATGATAACTCTCATCATCTGCTACATGTAAAATATGTTCGTAACAGCTGTTCCCATCAACCAGGTGTTCAAATTTATTCATCATGTTACAAGTTCATTTGCATTTTGACACAACAGGTTCTCTATCAGAGAGAGGACTTGTCTCTTATCATAATCCATCACTTGCCAGTGTAGTATATGTCATGTATATTCAATCTAGATAAATACAATCCAACAGGTGCCCCTTACCTCCACAACTTCCTACAGGAGAGACACAACACAGTCCAAAAAAAGTTTTACTATATTTTGATGTGTTGGATTTACCCTGTGCCCAGTGAAGCAAAACCACCAGTGACTTGTTACACACAGACTTCACAGATACCTTGTTGTTTTCTTTATGTCTTTGCAGTTTAATGTCTCAACATTGTCTCCACAAGCGACAATTGGTTCTTAAAAATATGCACAGTATATTATGATAGTTGTACAGTGATCTTTGTTACACAAATAGAAGCAATGCCTGTATGATACATGTAGAATGATAACTGTTGTATTCCCCAGGTCACCAACCTCTGTATGTTACATGTAGAATGATAACTGTTGTATTCCCCAGGTCACCAACCTCTGTATGCTACATGTAGAATGATAACTGTTGTATTCCCCAGGTCACCAACCTCTGTATGTTACATGTAGCATGATGACTGTTGTATTCCCCAGGTCACCAACCTCTGTATGTTACATGAAGAATGATAACTGTTGTATTCCCCAGGTCACCAACCTCTGTATGTGACATGTAGAATGATAACTGTTATATTCCCCAGGTCACCAACCTCTGTATGTTACATATAGAATGATAACTATTATATTCCTCGGTTCACCAACCTCTGTATGTGACATGTAGAAAGATAACTGTTGTATTCCCCAGGTCACCAACCTCTGTATGTGACATGTAGAAAGATAACTGTTATATTCCCCAGGTCACCAACCTCTGTATGTTACATGTAGAAAGATAACTGTTGTATTCCTCGGTTCACCAACCTCTGTATGTTACATGTAGAATGATAACTGTTGTATTCCTCGGTTCACCAACCTCTGTATGTTACATGTAGAATGATAACTGTTGTATTCCCCAGGTCACCAACCTCTATATGTTACATGTAGAAAGATAACTGTTGTATTCCCCAGGTCACCAACCTCTGTATGTTACATGTAGAAAGATAACTGTTGTATTCCTCGGTTCACCAACCTCTGTGTATGTTATATGTAGAATGATAACTGTTGTATTCCTCGGTTCACCAACCTCTGTGTATGTTATATGTAGAATGATAACTGTTGTATTCCTCGGTTCACCAACCTCTGTATGCTACATGTAATAAGATAACTGTTGTATTCCTCGGTTCACCAACCTCTGTCGGTACATGTAGAAAGATAACTGTTGTATTCCCCAGGTCACCAACCTCTGTGTATGTTACATGTAGAACTGATAACTGTTGTATTCCTCGGTTCACCAACCTCTGTATGTTACATGTAGAATGATAACTGTTGTATTCCTCGGTTCACCAACCTCTGTATGTTACATGTAGAATGATAACTGTTGTATTCCTCGGTTCACCAACCTCTGTATGTTATATGTAGAATGATAACTGTTGTATTCCCCAGGTCACCAACCTCTGTATGTTACATGTAGAATGATAACTGTTGTATTCCTCGGTTCACCAACCTCTGTATGTTACATGTAGAATGATAACTGTTGTATTCCTCGGTTCACCAACCTCTGTATGTTACATGTAGAATGATAACTGTTGTATTTCCTCGTTCACCAACCTCTGTATGTTACATGTAGAACCTGATGTTACATGTGATAACTGTGTTCCCCAGGTCACCAACCTCTGTATGTTACATGTAGAATGATAACTGTTGTATTCCCCAGGTCACCAACCTCTGTATGTTACATGTAGAATGATAACTGTTGTATTCCCAGGTCACCAACCTCTGTATGTTACATGTAGAATGATAACTGTTGTATTCCCCAGGTCACCAACCTCTGTATGTTACATGTAGAATGATAACTGTTGTATTCCCCAGGTCACCAACCTCTGTATGTTACATGTAGAATGATAACTGTTGTATTCCTCAGGTCACCAACCTCTGTATGTTACATGTAGAATGATAACTGTTGTATTCCTCGGGTCACCAACCTCTGTATGTACATGTGAAAGATAGTAAAGATAACTGTTGTATTCCCCAGGTCACCAACCTCTGTATGTTACATGTAGAATGATAACTGTTGTATTCCCCAGGTCACCAACCTCTGTATGTTACATGTAGAATGATAACTGTTGTATTCCTCGGTTCACCAACCTCTGTATGTTATATGTAGAATGATAACTGTTGTATTCCCCAGGTCACCAACCTCTGTATGTTACATGTAGAATGATAACTGTTGTATTCCTCGGTTCACCAACCTCTGTATGCTACATGTAGAAAGATAACTGTTGTATTCCTCGGTTCACCAACCTCTGTATGTTACATGTAGAAAGATAACTGTTGTATTCCTCGGTTCACCAACCTCTGTATGTTACATGTAGAATGATAACTGTTGTATTCCTCAGGTTCACCAACCTCTGTATGTTACATGTAGAATGATAACTGTTGTATTCCCCAGGTCACCAACCTCTGTATGTTACATGTAGAATGATAACTGTTGTATTCCTCGGTTCACCAACCTCTGTATGTTACATGTAGAATGATAACTGTTGTATTCCTCGGTTCACCAACCTCTGTATGTTATATGTAGAATGATAACTGTTGTATTCCCCAGGTCACCAACCTCTGTATGTTACATGTAGAATGATAACTGTTGTATTCCCAGTTCACCAACCTCTGTATGCTACATGTAGAATGATAACTGTTGTATTCCTCGGTTCACCAACCTCTGTATGTTACATGTAGAATGATAACTGTTGTATTCCCTCAGGTTCACCAACCTCTGTATGTTACATGTAGAATGATAACTGTTGTATTCCTCGGGTCACCAACCTCTGTATGTTACATGTAGAAAGATAACTGTTGTATTCCCCAGGTCACCAACCTCTGTATGTTACATGTAGAATGATAACTGTTGTATTCCCAGTTCACCAACCTCTGTATGTTACATGTAGAATGATAACTGTTGTATTCCTCGGGTCACCAACCTCTGTATGTAGAATGATATTCCTCGGTTCACATGTAGAATGATAACTGTTGTATTCCTTGTATTCACCAACCTCTGTATGTTACATGTAGAATGATAACTGTTGTATTCCTCGGTTCACCAACCTCTGTATGTTACATGTAGAAAGATAACTGTTGTATTCCTCGGTTCACCAACCTCTGTATGTTACATGTAGAATGATAACTGTTGTATTCCCCAGGTCACCAACCTCTGTATGTTACATGTAGAATGATAACTGTTGTATTCCCAGGTCACCAACCTCTGTAACCTAGAATGATAACTGTTGTACATCACCAACCTCTGTATGATGTAGAATGATAACTGTTGTATTCCAGGTCACCAACCTCTGTATGTTACATGTAGAATGATAACTGTTGTATTCACCAGGTCACCAACCTCTGTATGTTACATGTAGAAAGATAACTGTTGTATTCCCCAGGTCACCTGTATGTTACATGTGTATGATACATGTAGAAAGATAACTGTTGTATTCATGTAGGGTCACCAACCTCTGTATGTTACATGCTACATGATAACTGTTGTATTCCCCAGGTCACCAACCTCTGTATGTTACATGTAGAAAGATAACTGTTGTATTCCCAGGTCACCAACCTCTGTATGTTACATGTAGCATGATAACTGTTGTATCCCCAGGTCACCAACCCCAGGTCACCAACCTCTGTGTAGGTCACCAACCTCTGTGTATGTTACATGTAATAAGATAACTGTTATATTCCCCAGGTCACCAACCTCTGTGTATGTTACATGTAATAAGATAACTGTTGTATTGCTCAGGTCACCAACCTCTTTGTATGTTACATGTAGAATGATAACTGTTGTATTCCCCAGGTCACCAACCTCTGTGTATGTTATATGTAGAAAGATAACTGTTGTATTCCTCGGTCACCAACCTCTGTATGTTACATGTAGAAAGATAACTGTTGTATTCCCCAGGTCACCAACCTCTGTATGTTACATGTAGAATGATAACTGTTGTATTCCCCAGGTCACCAACCTCTGTATTACATGTAGAAATGATAACTGTTGTATTCCCAGGTCACCAACCTCTGTATGTTACGTGTAGAATGATGACTGTTGTATTCCCCAGGTCACCAACCTCTGTATGTTACATGTAGAATGATAACTGTTGTATTCCCCAGCCCAGGAACCCTGAGATGCTGCATATCCCAGACCAGGGACACGTATATAGCATTGGATGAAAGATAACTGTTGTATATCCTATGAAAATATGCCCTTATTGTTGTATGAAATACGGTAGCATCCATGGTTACACTTGGTTTAAGATGAAACTCTACCCTTTCATTATAGAGTTACCTTTCTTTACAATCACTCTTCTGTCCAAAGGACTTGATAGGGATGGAGAAACTCACCTTTATAATTACATGTTTTGGCTCTCAACGCTTGACAGAGTTTGTCCAATTAAAATACGGATCATGTGCGTTCTATACAATAGTTTGTCTATTGTGTGTACATTTCAAAAGACAAGTTTGTTAAATAATCTGGGGACAATCACACCATGAGACACATATCGGTTGTAGGTATCGTTTGTTCCTTGTCCCATGTGAGTCATCGACGAGGCGATTTCCTTCCTTGATATACGATATACTGTAATCATTCTGTACATGCAACTCGTCAATTTCACTCATCAACATCAACTTTCGTCCTTATTTCCTCAAATGTATTTAAGTCGAGTTATACGTGACAGTGACAAGACAAATCTAGTGTGCTTAAACACTGACAAGTTTCTATCAAATTTCATTTTTTGGTCATATCATTTTGTATGGGAATATTCATATTTGTAGGCACACACATAATTTACATTTAACAGATGTGTCAAAAAAAGTTACTATTTTCAACTCTTGAATTTGTTATTTGAAATTATCAGTGATAAACATACTTTGTGACACGTTTGGTAGTCATTTATAGATGATGCCCTTTTACTTTGTACTTGTCAAAAGAACTAACTTTTAATGAAAATAAGTTGACCTTTGATGATGTTACAGTGTAGGTAGAGGATGACTCACTCACTTGGTCACTCACTCACTCACTCACATCCATGTGTTATTGGGAATATTTTAAATAATGCATTGATTCCATGTTGAAAGATATCTGTGTGACTACCCTGAGATCTGCTGAAAGCATTGTCCTTCCTGCAGCTGGAAGCTATTGTCAATGTTACAAAACATGTCTGTACATAATCAGTGTTACTTTATTTTAACAATAATGAAATTGAGGAAGGATAGGATTTCAAAAGCTGTGCGTAACTAATTTCAACATTACATGAATCATTTTTATCACTCTAACATCAAGTTTTGTTCATTAATTGTTTGTATTACCATAGTGTTGTAGTGTTATGTCATCTTCCTTTGTCTAATTACCACTTGTGTTAATTTGGTTCATATCCAGTTAAGGTCAAAGGTTAATAAGGAGATCAGCCTGATGACCAACATTTTGCCCACGTCCAGTTGGCTAGCTTCCTCTGTCACTTGAAGAGAACACTTCTCTGGGTGACTTGTTGCTATGGCGACTTTGATTATTTGACTTGTTACTGTAAATGTTGTAAATGTTGATATTCCTGTGATCCTGACAGAGCTGGAAGCCAAGATTGCAGCATTGGTAATTAGAACAACAATACACTTCTTAGAAAAACTGATGCTAGTTTTTTGCTAGGATAAGTCAAGTGAAAATATCAAATTCAAAATGAGCTTTGTCATGACATCAATTTCAACATGGTTGTTGCAAGAGTGAGTGAGTTAAGTATTACGCCGCACACAGCAATATTCCAGCTATATGGCGGCGGTCTGTAAATAATCGAGTCTGGACCAGACAATCCAGTGATCAACAGCATGAGCATCGATCTGCGCAATTGGGAACCGATGACATGTGTCAACCAAGTCAGCGAGCCTTGACCACCCGGCCCCTCTTGTTTAAAGAAGTGGCATCTACCACACGACAATCTCATATAACCTAATTCTGTGAGATGAGTGTTGATTTATTTCATCGGAGGACTCTTCACGTGTAGACCTGTGCATGTCGGTGACGCATCAGATTCCTGAGGTGGATGCACTTCTCACGGCACATTGTTATCTGTATCTTGTTTATTGGCTGAAAAGCAGGCCTTCTGACCCCAGTTTTAGTTTTATGAACCTCATAATATCATATATGTCATCATAAATCTATGGTTATATTTGGACGAGGATCATACAAAGCTTGTATATTTCTGTTGATGTTTATTTTGCCTTTGCAAAAATGAGATCATATATTTCATTGTCCTGTTGTTTTTGTCAATAATATTAGACTCTTTGATGATCGGTTCCAAAGTGTGTTTCCCTGTCCAATTCTTTTGGGTTTGATAGTGATTTTTTTCAAATGTTGATAGTTAGGTGTTGTTGGGTTAGGCCATGCTCCACCGCCATGATCCTGTTCTGTCAAGTCCTTAGCTGAGGTGAAGCAGGGGTTTTGACAAGCTGCTTCCCCTAGAGGTTTCCACTCGGGGTTTTGACAAGCTGCTTCCCCTAGAGGTTTCCACTCGGGGCTTTGACAAGCTGCTTCCCCTAGAGGTTTCCACTCGAGGTTTTGACAAGCTGCTTCCCCTAGAGGTTTCCACTCGGGGTTTTGACAAGCTGCTTCCCCTAGAGGTTTCCACTCGGGGTTTTGACAAGCTGTTTCCCCTAGAGGTTTCCACTCGGGGTTTTGAATAGCTGTTTCCCCTAGAGGCTTCCACTAGGAGTTTTGACACAGCTGTTTCCCCGAGAGGCTTCCACCAGGAGTTTTGACAAGCTGCTTCCCCTAGAGGCTTCCACTAGGAGTTTCATCGAGCTGCTTCCCCTAGAGGCTTCCACTAGGAGTTTCGACGAGCTGCCAACCCTAGAGGCTTCCACCAGGAGTTTCGACAAGCTGCCAACCCTAGAAGCTTCCACTAGGAGTTTCGTCGAGCTGCTTCCCCTAGAGGCTTCCACTAGGAGTTTCGACAAGCTGCTTCCCCTAGAGGCTTCCACCAGGAGTTTTGACAAGCTGCTTCCCCTAGAGGCTTCCACTATGAGTTTTGACAAGCCGCTTCCCCTAGAGGCTTCCACTAGGAGTTTTGTCAAGCTGCTTCCCCTAGAGGCTTCCACTAGGAGTTTTGACAAGCTGTTTCCCCTAGAGGCTTCCACTAGGAGTTGTCACAAGCTGCTTCCCCTAGAGGCTTCCACTAATAGTTTCGACAAGCTGCTTCCCCTAGAGGCTTCCACTAGGAGTTTCGACAAGCTTCTTCCCCTAGAGGCTTCCACTAGGAGTTTTGACAAGCTGTTTCCCCTAGAGGCTTCCACTAGGAGTTGTCACAAGCTGCTTCCCCTAGAGGCTTCCACCAATAGTTTCGTCAAACTGCTTCCCCTAGAGGCTTCCACAAGGAGTTTTGACAAGCTGCTTCCCCTAGAGGCTTCCACTAGGAGTTTCGTCAAGCTGCTTCCCCTAGAGGTTCCACTAATAGTTTCGACAAGCTGCTTCCCCTAGAGGCTTCCACTAGGAGTTTCGACAAGCTGCTTCCGCTAGAGGCTTCCACTAGGAGTTTTGACAAGCTGCTTACCCTAGAGGCTTCCACTAGGAGTTTCGACAAGCTGCTTCCCCTAGAGGCTTCCACTAATAGTTTCGACAAACTGCTTCCCCTAGAGGCTTGCATTAGGAGTTTTGACAAGCTGCTTCCCCTGGAGGCTTCCACTAGGAGTTTTGACAAGCTGCCTCCCCTAGAGGCTTCCACTAGGAGTTTCGATAAGCTCCTTGCCCTAGAGGCTTCCACTAGGGGTTTCTATAAGCTGCTTCCCCTAGAGGCTTCCACTAGGAGTTTTGACAAGCTGCCTCCCCTAGAGGCTTCCACTAGGAGTTTTGACAAGCTCCTTCCCCTAGAGGCTTCCACTAGGAGTTTCGATAAGCTCCTTCCCCTAGAGGCTTCCACTAGGAGTTTCTATAAGCTGCTTCCCTAGAGGCTTCCACTGGGAGTTTTGACAAGCTGCCTCCCCTAGAGGCTTCCACTAGGAGTTTTGACAAGCTCCTTCCCTAGAGGCTTCCACTAGGAGTTTCCGATAAGCTCCTTCCCTAGAGGCTTCCACTAGAGTTTCTATAAGCTGCTTCCCCTAGAGGCTTCCACTAGGAGTTTTGACAAGCTGCCCCCCTAGAGGCTTCCACTAGGAGTTTTGACAAGCTCCTTCCCCAGAGGCTTCTACTAGGAGTTTCTGATAAGCTCCCTTGCCCTAGAGGCTTCCACTAGGAGTTTCTATAAGCTGCTTCCCCTAGAGGCTTCCACTAGGAGTTTTGACAAGCTGCCTCCCCTAGAGGCTTCCACTAGGAGTTTTGACAAGCTCCTTCCCCTAGAGGCTTCCACTAATAGTTTCGATAAGCTCCTTCCCCTAGAGGCATCCACTAGGGGTTTCAACCAGCTGCTTCCACTTGGGTTTCAACTAGCTGCTTCCACTAAAGGCTTCCACCAGGGGTTTCAACAAGCTGCTTGCACTAGAGGTTTCCACTAGAGATTTCAACCAGCAGCTTCCACTAGGGATTTCCAATAGAGATTTCCACCAGAGGCTTCCCTAGGAGTTTAGACAAGCTGCTTCCCCTAGAGGCTTCCACTAGGGGTTTCCACTAAAGGTTTCCACTACGAGTTTCGACAAGCTTCCCATAGAGACTTCCACTACAGGTTTCCTTCAGGAGTTTCAACAAACTGCTTCCACTAGAGGTTTCCACTGGGGGCCTCCACTTGGGGTTTGAACAAGCTGCTTCCACTTGGGGCTTCCACTGGGGGTTTCCAATAGAGATTTCCACTAGAGGCTTCCCCTAGGAGTTTCGACAAGCTGCTTCCACTAGAGGCTTCCACTAAAGGTTTCCACAAGGAGTTTTGACAAACTACTTCAACTAGAGGTTTCTGCTAGGGGCTTCCACTGGGGGTTTCCACACTGGTATGTGTATATCAAGGGTGATGACTTTAATGAGCCCTCGTGAAGATGCACAAGATGAGTTGTGCCATGGACTGTGTGGTCATGCTAGAACATTGAGTTGATGCATGCCATTGTATCGCAGTTGTATAACTCTGTGACAAGGACTGTGTGCCCTGGCTTCATCAGTTCCATCTCATGCCATCTACGGCTGGTCTGCCTGGTCCAGACTTGAACAAGGTGGCCTGCTGATGTAACCTGGTCCAGACTTGAACATGGTGGGCCTGCTGATGTAGCCAGGTCTGCCTGGTCCAGACTTGAACATGGTGGGCCTGCTGATGTAGCCAGGTCTGCCTGGTCCAGACTTGAACATGGTGGGCTTGCTGATGTAGCCAGGTCTGCCTGGTCCAGACTTGAACATGGTGGGCCTGCTGATGTAGCCAGGTCTGCCTGGTCCAGACTTGAACATGGTGGGCCTGCTGATGTAGCCTGGTCTGCCTGGTCCAGACTTGAACATGGTGGGCCTGCTGATGTAGCCTGGTCTGCCTGGTGGTCCAGACTTGA